GAAAAAAAAAAAAAAAAAAAAAAAAAAAAAGGGCGGGGGGAAGGGTGAGGAAGGTCTTTGAACATTTGGGAAGGGGGGAGGGAGAGAGCCGACACGCAAGTTTTCACGCATCCCGACGTGCGAGGCGCGGGAAAGGGGAAGCCCGGAACTGGGAAAAGAGAGGCCTTCTCAGTCCAAAGGGGCCTCTCCGCAATACCAGAGAAAAGAAAAAGAATGGGCAAATAAATAAGTGATGTTAAAAAAAAGCCGTCTCCTTTCTTTCAAAAAGAGGGAAGTGGAAAGAAAAGGAGGGGTCATTTTTTTACTTCGGTTCTGCCTGATTTCCTTGTCGTTTCTCCATTCAAAACGGGAGGGGATTGTTGGCGGGGGGGTTATTAATGCTTGGGTCCTTTTAAGGGGAAAGAGGATTTTAAAATACTGTATTTTAAATAAAATAAATCAGTCAAAATGAACTCTCCCCCCCCCACACACACAGAGACACTTTTAAAAGAGATCTTCTGAGGGCCTCATAGCAACCCAGGTGGTAGTTTGTCCACCACTCAGTTTTTACTTACACAACAGTCTTAGGAGGTAGGTTGGCAAGAGCCGTGGGAAGAAGGTTAGGGGCATTCTCCCTGAGCATCAAGATCAGCATCCGAAGTTCCTGCTCTTGGGTCAGCCAGTGATTGCTGTCAGATTGGCAGGAACAAGAGACAAGGATCCTTTCCTGGGGTAGTCCACTTTTTTTCTACTGGTTTTCCACAGGAACTGATCCATCTTTACTGGTTTTAGAAGACTTGTAAAGACATAGAGTTATTGCAGTGCATTGTACTTTCAGCGAAGGTTCTAGTTGCAGCTGTTACCTTGTTTGTATTCATTGTGCACTGAGTACTGTACTTTTGTTTGCAGTTTGTATTTTAAAAGTACATGGGAACTGGGTGTTATTTGGAAAAGTCGGTTATAAATCTGTTAAATAAATCCAGCTGCTTAGCCTCACTAACTTGCCTCAGAGGACCTGACTGGGAGTGTTGCCCAGCAACTGCCAAGAAGCTGGGATTTGCCTCCATCAGAGGCTCTCTGAGATTCAGCTCCTTACCCCATTCTCTTGCCTCAGGTAGAAACAGGAGCAAATTTTTTAAAAACCCACCTGTTTTAAAGCTAATTTTAAAAGGCAATTACAAAAAAAAAATCAATCAAAACAACCTTAAAAGACTCAGTTGAATCCAAGTTTAGATATGAAGTGTTATAGAAAATAATATGCTTCTGACTGCTTGCTAAAAATTCAATAGGGTAGGATCATCTTGTCTTCCTTTAAGAGGCAGTTCTGCAACTCGGGGGCTATCCTAGAGAACCCAGTTTGTTTATAGAATTAATTGTCTTTTTTTTGTGAGCTGCCTTCTGTTCCAGTCCTGGAAGAAAGTCAAGATATATTTAAGAGAAATAATAAAACCTTGTAATTCCCTTCCTCCATTACTTTACATTTTACAAAAATGCTTTGTTATTTGGGGTTATTATATTAGATTTTGTTTACAAGTTGTAGGTGTGGAGGAACCTGAGGGAGAGTTGCAGATGCCTTGGTATGGAATATGTTTTATTCTTTCCCCAAAAAACGGAGTTATGGTTAACTGAATGTGATTTACTTTCACACAGTTGAGGGTAGAGAGAGAGAGAGAGAAAGAAATTAAGCTTTGAAAAAAAAGTGTACATGCTGTTTTCTTCTCACATATTTACTGTGTATAGCCATACATTGGGACGTTATTGTATTGTGCAAGAAGGAAGGGAATTTTTTTTTAATTCCAGGATAACACTATTCATCGCTTCTGTGGCATCTTGTTTCGGTGTGTGTCTTTTTAAATTTTATGTTTTGATGGGGAGAGCCACAATTTGTCATTTTTGAAATGGTTACTAAAAACACAAAATGTATCTTTGGTTTGTTCACTATACTAACAATCTGTAAAGTTAGAAAGGATTTTGTTGTTTTAAAATCCACCTCTGCCAAAGTTCCTTGTCTTAAACTCTTGAGACAAAAGGCTGTCAGACACTCAGCATTACCACCCTCTTCCTTGGCCGGAAAGAGAAGCTCCTCATTTTGGTTTGGGATTAGGGTGACATAGAAATGTAGCAAACCTTTTATTGGAGAAGTTGGGATAAAATTTAAGGTTTAACCCTTAGGTGAGCCAACTACAGCCTGTATTTTGGTTGGCAGTTCTTAACTGTTGGGCAGCAGCTCATAGCAGAGGGAGGTGTTTACTGAGATAATCAGAACCCAGTACATTTAGGATGCTTAAATGTTAAAATGAATTGGCTCCCGGTATCAGATCTGTAGCCAGTGCAGCGGAGTTAAATAGCTCTAGCCAGTGTAGCTGTTTTAAACCACCTTGAATCCATGGGGTACCATATTTTGTGGTCACTGCCATATTGAACGACCAGATTTTTTCAACCATCTTCAAAGGTATTCTCAAAGGAGGTCAGGCCGATCTCATTTGAAGTAAAATAAAAGCAAAGTGAGAACAACAACTTTTTTACTTACTTCAGCTTGAGATTTGTGTTTTTAATATGCAAGGCAAAACTTAAATAGAAATGTAGGAGGATAAATACCTTAGATTTTGCTTAAAGAACAGTACTGTATTGGATTTCCAGATTCTCCTGAGTTTTTTTTAATACCTGAAAAAAGAAGTCAGTTGCTTTTCACAGATTTGCATGCTGTAGGTCAAATCAGCATTTCATTTCCTGCTGTTTCTTCAATGCTTTGCTGCTTTTCAATCAATCTGTTTTGGTTTGTTTTTTCTTCTTCTTTATTCTACTAAGCTACGGAAATGCAGCTTCTCTGCTTTCCTTATTAATGTGGCCTTGCAATGACCGCTTGGATCTGAAACCTATATAAATTTTGCAGATATGTGGGGAACCTATCAAGAGATGTTACTGAAGCCCTAATTCTCCAGCTGTTCAGCCAGATTGGACCATGCAAAAACTGCAAGATGATAATGGATGTAAGTTTACCTGTGCGGTGTGCAGAGAATATTGACTGTTGGGCAGTCTGAATGTAGCAAAATACATTGAAATGATAAGATTATTTCTAAAATGCAGACTCAAATCCACATGCAAGATCCAACTAGAGGAGGCCCATTAAATCAACACAAAACTGCTGGTCTACCATTTGTGGGGCCTATTCTTGCCAGGACTAGTAATTTTATTTAGGACATATTCTTTTCATAGGAAAATGGGGGCTTTGAAGATTCTGAAAAGGTGGGATTATCAAGGAATTTCATGGGGTCCTTGCTCTCCATTTAAAACGGGATGTTTTAGGGAGGAAATAAATGTAATTGAGCAGTTCATGAGCAAGTTAAAAAAATTAAGAAAGTAGAAAATAAAAGGGTCACTTTTCAGAATTAAGCCCCGTTCCACTCAGCAAAGTTTACTCCTTGCTCTTTGTAATTAGGACTATAACTGTAAATTACCTTGGTGCCCCTAAAAAAGCAATAAGTGCAAAATTTATAAAGCCTAAAGTTGCCTTCTGGTTTCTGAACACTTATCTGGCATAAATATCTACTTACTGCAGTGAAAATTTTTTTCTTCCTTTTAATTTGAAACACAAAAGGGGAATAATCATGCTGAGGATTGCAGCTTCACTGTTATAAAACATGGTTGACATAGAGTTGAGAGAGTTTGGCTGTAGCCTCCTGACAGTGTTTTTCTTTGCTTAAATAGACAGCTGGAAATGATCCATATTGTTTTGTGGAGTTCTATGAGCATCGTCATGCAGCCGCAGCTTTAGCGGCTATGAATGGACGGAAGATAATGGGTAAGGTAAGCACCCAGTACTAAATAGTGAAATGGAGCAATTGCATGGATTCTGTAGTATTGGATTAAACTGCTTTAAAAAAGAAGAAGAAAAGGTAACGGTAACAATTTGTCCAGTTTTAATCTTGTGTATGGCAGAGTTTCCAACTTTTGGAAGATTGTACTTTTAAAAAGCCATGTTAAGACACAACTGCATGATGACTTCACAAGTGAAAGAGCTGCAGTATGTTGTGATAAAAAAAGATTGTGGGTGTAAGTACTCACTATCTTAACTTTCCTGGACTTGCAAATACAGTTGCTTGGCAGAGCAATAAAATATAATCTGGCATTTTATTTTTCTATGTGATGTGACTGACCTTCAACATGGGAGCTTTGCTAAATAGACTTTTGTTCAAATAAGTCAATTATTCATCAGATACAACAAACTGATATTTTAAATTCAATTGGAATCCTATTGGATTCATGACATGTAAATGGTCAGTCTCACAGCAGTGTGTGCTTTATCATTGGCCATCCGCTGCGCCCTTGGCTGTGCTGGTACTGTACAGTTAATCACATGAAATAGGAGTCTGGCAAAATGTGAACTCACCTTACACAATCACCCTTAAATGTGTGGACTTTTTACTACAGGAATCTGTCCAACATGTTATGTATTTGTCAAATTACTCTGTTGTTGAGGAATTTCAGATTATTCAGGCCAGTGTTATAACTTCCTTGAATGTAATTTGAGCAAATGTTATTTGTAGGAGGTCAAAGTGAACTGGGCCACGACCCCCAGCAGCCAGAAGAAAGATACCAGCAGTAAGTTCCTTATGATTCTGAGTAATTACTCTTTATTTGCTCAAACGTGTTTTTAATGTTAAGTAATAAGCATCATGCAAATATTTGCCCTATTGTTTTGATCATTATCCTAAGATATTATTTAATGTGTTTGTGTTAATAAACTTAAGAACAAATCTAATCTTTGTCATCAGGTAGTACCGTTGTCAACACACTGCGTTCACAAGGTAATTGTATCTTCTTAAACATAAAATGAAATCTCTCAGGGGTATTCACTAACCGCCTGAAGCTATTGGGGGGGTTGTTCTTATAGTTACAAGCTTCTCCCTCCTCTCTCCAATGGATCAGGATTAAACTGCTGTGGCAATAATAATTCTTTCCCTCTTTGTGAGGGTGAGAGAACCAGCTTCTTTCAAGGCTGCAATTTGTGATACACTATAAAACTTCCTTGCAGTCTATCCGTTGCTCTTCCAGTGGGATCATTTTCCCTTGTACTGCTAGGCAACCCAGTGTGTTGCTTCTCTACTTGTCTGGCCTTAGAATTTTTAAAACCTTGGGGGTGGATTTAACCATACTCTTGCTAAGGTGAAGTTGTAAAGTGTCACGTGTGCACTGAAACCCGTTAGAGTGGTGATAATGGTTTTGTGTGACTATCAAGACTGTCCTTAAAGATGGCATCGTTGTCTCACCAGTTCTTATGTAAATGGCTGTAACATAAATTATGAAGGGATTACTGTTTCCGTTCTGTTGCCTTCAGTCTTAGTTCACTTGCTCATGGATTTCACATACTTTGAATTCACATGGATACATGGTGTAAAGGCTGGGCAACCAAAAGTGTTGGCTTTTCAGAAAACGGTCAAATACTTTAACAACAAACTGTTACAATGCAAGGTATCTTTTTGACTGTTTTTCACAAAGTATGACTAAGATTGAGCTGTTTATAATTTATGTTGTCTATACTGGTTTGTTTACTGTATTCTATTTTGCTCATAGAACCAGTAGACATTTAGGCTCAGTGTTCTTAAATGTATGTATATGTAAGATTAAATAGTAGCATTTTAAATTAAAACTGTAGTATAAACTTTTGGCTTGGTGCAATATGAGTAAAGCTGTCATGGAAATGCAGTTTCTGATATGAATAACAGAATTTAATAAAAAGTAAACTGTAGTTACATGTAACTTACTGCACTTGTGTATTGTCATATCTATTTGTGATTATATATTAAATAATGATGTATTTTGTTATATGATAGGTCAAACTATATTCTAGTTCTAATATAGTTTCCAGATGTATGACAATTGATACAAATTTTTCTTTAAAAAAATTCCCTGAGTTTCCAGGATCACTTGCAAAAATGGACATTTTTTTCTTTTTTCTGATAAGACCACTTCCATGTCTTTGTTGGAGACCTCAGTCCAGAAATTACAACTGAAGATATAAAAGCAGCTTTTGCACCATTTGGAAGAATATCGTAAGTAATGTCTTATGACGGATGATGGGGGACCTTTAGGATGAAACTGAATCTCATGTATTATGCCAGCATATCGAAGGATAGTTATGTTCTCCACACAGTGTTGCAGTTATTAATTGATTAGCAAACAGGTCATTTTGCTTTATTAAGTGTGCATAACAAGCCATTGGTTTTATACTTTAGAAGTTTTAGAAGAGGTACTCATGTTAGTCTGTGCTAGCATGTCAGGTAAAAACAAAAGAAAAATAAGAAAGACAAAAACATTGTGGCACCTTAAATACTAACTGCTATACTGTAATGTGAGCTTTTGTGGACAAATCCACTTCCTCGGATGAAAAGCTCACATTAAAACATACCAGTTAGTCTTTAAGGTGCCACAAATGGTTTTGTCTTTATTTTTTATTTTGGTTTTCGCTGACATTTCAGAAGATCTCTTATTTCCAACTCTGATTCATTCCTTTTAAATATACATGTTCATCTCATTATATTTATTAAAGATCGTGGAGTGGGTTTTCTAATGTAAAGTTGCTGTAAGTGAAAGCTTCCAGTGAGAATAGTTGTGTAAAAGCAGTTTCAATATACATCAGATTTCATAGAAGTTCTGAGCTGAAAGATTTTGGCTTTTTGTGAAATGGGTGCTCTATTAAATAAAATAAACTAGAAGTTGGCCTTCAGTGTAGTTTCCTGTTTCTGTCATTGTCTTGTTTCAGAAGTCTTGTGAAGGTTTGCATAGCAAACCAGGGGACCGTCTGTCTTGTTTCTACTAAGAAACCAAGTGGTGGCCAACTTGTGAAAATGATACCATGACATTTTATGGGTAGTTCAGTGAATCGGAAATGAGCCTTTATCTTTGCTCCAGTTTTAATTAAAACAGCTTGAAAGCATGATTTCTGAATAGAAATTATTGTAGCATGGCTTACCTGGAGTTAAAAGGAAAGTTGGTTGTTGAAGGGTTTTCATCTCAAGAAGCTGGGAGGAAAGTCCCTCCCTGGCATCGTTACTTAAGGACAGGGAGCATGGATTGAAGGATCTGATGGTGTCCCAAGAGGGTGATCTAAAGCAGCGATGGAGAATCTTTGGCCCTTTGGTGGTTTAGGCCTGCACAGTTCCCACAGACCTTTCCTGTCCGCCACGCTGAGTAGAGCTGATGGGCCCAAAAATTCTTTATCCCTTCTATAGGGTTCAGTTTAAGCAGAACAGGTGCTGTTCTGTTTCAGTGGAACGTGTAGCCAAAAGGTCTTTCCGTGGCTTTTGTAAGACCTTGCCTTGGAGGGCTGTAGAAAACTGCTTTTGCATGTTGCCCTGCCCCTGTTCTAAAGAAACATTGGCTCGTGGTTATTCTTGTGATCCCATTGCCCTGAAGGAAGATGTGTTGTTTAAGTTATGTCAGATGTTAAGAATCAGAAGCAAGGAGGGTAAGTAAAAGTCCTAATCATGTTTGTAAACAAATCTTTCAAAGGCAAGGGTTACCAACTTCAGATGATTCCAGAACAAAAATGCAACACTGGTTGTTGATCGAGCATAGTTTAAGGAAAATAATCAAACTGCATTGACAGCTGAAATATTAAGATCTATAAATCCCTTTTGCAAAGTGTCTGTATAGTCCCCAGTACAGAAAAGATCCTCATCTACAGGGCGTGGATTTTTTCTTGCAAATGGCTATAACTACTTTTTAGGAATGTCTCTGAAAGAGAGAGGAAGGGATCTCTACATTTACTCTCTCTTGGAAGGAATTCAAGTAGTAAAGAGGAGACGGAAAGGTTGAGGACAGATGGAGAGGAAAATCTAAACCTCCTGATTTAGCATGGGCTGCTTTACCCATAGCGCAGCAGGCACCAGCTTGCCCCATTCCTGTTGGCATAATTTACTCCTGAAATTTCCAGAAAAGTAGTTGTCTGCTGATGTAAGAAATGCACTGCTCACAGGATGCACAGACTGATGATGCTTGACAGGAATGGGTTCCTGCTGTTTGAGACACAGTGCAGATAAAGTTAGATTTGCCATGTCCCATGATTATTATAATAAAAAACATGTGGTGAAGAATTTTAAGTTAGGCCAAGTGTCTCAATGAAATCTTGGGAATTGGGGCACTGTTAATTCGATAAAACAGAAATCCACCTTGAAAACATGGTTAATGTTCCATCAGAAAGCAGAGCATTCTTTGGGGCTGTCCCCAAGACCTACCTTGTTCGTCGGTTGTAGGTTTCACACAAGGTGGCTTGAGTTTTGGAGCTGCTCCATTTAAAGGCCATTCCTACTCTCAGCCACTTTCTTTGCGATTCAGCTCATTTGTGTGGGCACTCAAAGAGTGAGGAGGGCAGAGTGGATATTTGGGGTGGAGAAGAGGTCTTCATGGGTTTTCTGCTGATTCCCTCCAGAGCCCAGACTCATTCCCAGGTATCCTGCAGCCCCTTGCCATCAACTGGGGACAGCACTGTGACTTAGTATCCCCTGGTCCTTCTATAGCAGCTGCTGAGAAAGAGGAAGAAAGAACGTATAAACCCTTGGAGTGTATTGTTATGGGTGCACATTTGTTTGGCAAACGTAGGACATCACTTTAATGGTCCTTTAAAACCATCCTGTCATGTCAGTCTGTGCAAAATAATTTGTTTATCCAGTTCAAAAAGATAAAAGCTTTAGTGAGAACTAGTAAATTCTAAAGCTAAAGAATAGTCACAAGCCAGTATCCTGTTGAGCAGAAGGTCCCTCTGGCAAGGCAGCATGGAATGACATCTCTTGCAGGAGACCTGTCAGGATGCAAGCGATAGTCACCCTGAAGAACATTCACTCTCCTGAAGTGGCATAGCTTGCATTACTACATTTCGTTTAGTCGTTTAGTCGTGTCCGACTCTTCGTGACCCCATGGACATTACTACAGACCTGGGCAAAGTGTGGCCCAAGGGCCACATACGGCCCACGAGCTGCTCCTGTCTGGCCCATGGACAGTTTTGAACATCAAAACCATTTATAGCCTTTTGTCTAAAGTTGATCAGTTGCTTATCTTTAACATACCGCAAAACACGTCTTTAGTATTTGTGAAGATTAACAAGTTTAAAATAAAAACAATCATAACATTACTGTTTCATTTTATTTTTAAGTAAAGTTGGTTTGACCCCCCAAACACAGTTCAGATTTTTCATGTAGCCCCCCTATAGAAATTAATTGCCCACCCCTGCATTACTACATAGCAGGGGTTTCTGCTCAGTGGAAACTCAATAGGATGCTGGCGATAATATGTAGAGGGCAGAATTTTACCCTTTAAGGAGGTACGGTATGGAGCCAGTGGGGCTTTAAATTTCTGGGGGGAAATGATGATTTCTGGGATCCTGTTAAATGTCTCACTGATCATTCTGAAATATGCGAATCAGTTTGAATAATATAATAATATGAATCTATTTGCTTTAAAAACATTACTGTGTAGTTGACACTTAATAATTACATATTTTTGCAAACACACCCACCTCCTGGTAGCTTGCTTGCTTTGAGTTCTTAGGTCTAATTTTTTAGAATGCCAATTAAGGGTAAGTATAGACTGTTTTCCACTTTTAGGATGTGCAGAAAACAACATCCACATGATTATGCCAGTAACTGTTCTCGGATGATTTGTAACGCAATCCTAATTCAGACTAATAAAATTTCTCAGGCCTCTTTCCGCTTACTCAGTAAAATATTATTTTGTTTTCTGTGAAGTAACCTCTTAACTAGTTGGATCTCTTGTTCAGCAGCCTCCATATTGCTTAGCTCCCTCCCTAAAATCCAGTGTGGTGTAGAATGCCATAACTGTGTATGTTGGAATGCTTTTTAAGGATCCCCTGGCCCCACAAAGCTTCTCTCACACTCTTTATCCATTTGGCATTGTCCCTTCAGTTCCTCCTCTGCCTGCCTGCCTTGCTGGCTCTGTTCTGTGATGGTCTGTGTAAAGTCCTGGATTCTGCGGGTTGGGGGAGGGCAAAGTAGGCTGGCATGTTTGAAAACACCCTTGAGAACTTCTCTCCTGTGTACAGAGGGCACAAAGGGGTGGATTTGATTAATAAAAAGAACATTTCCGCCAGTGGGGTTTAGCTATTGTAGCTGGGTCTTTTTGTCTTTTTTAACTCAATCTCAAATAATAGGGCTCTGGTTATTTTGCAGAATGTCTCTGAAGAATGGACAGCATTGCCATGGCTAACTGCAAGCTACAGTTCACAGTGGACAAACGTTGTAGTTTTTCTATTTCCTTTTATAAATTTTTTGCTTTATATATTTTGTAGTTTTCAATCAGTCCTGTATGATTGTTAATTACGAATGCCGTTTTTAAAAGATTATTTAATAGTGTATAGTAAAAAAGAAACATGTTAGTGTTTATTTTCTTCCATAATGCAACCATTTCTGAAAATGTCAATTTCTCAAAATTTACAGCTGCCCAAGTCCAAAAAGGGGGTAACGAATTGACCTGAGAAAATTAAAGAATTCAGTTAACAGGCGACGTATGCCTTTTAATTCCTATTTTTTCATTTTTTCTATTTTCTATTTCTAATAAGTAGGTAGAATGTGTTGGCCAATAGTAAGTTTATAAATTGCATGGTTGAAGAGAACCGGTTGCTAATATGCTAGTCAGCTACATGCCCTCAGTTATTCGTTTGAATAGCTGCTTTGACCATGCGTAGTGTTTTAAAAAGTATGTAAGAGCATTTTGAACTGTGAACCAACGATTGTAAAATATTTGTTTTTAAAAGCTATTGATTTTGCATGTTTACACAATTAAGTTAATTTTTTACTATCATATAATAGAACGTTAGTGAAAGGGAAAATTGCTTTGACTATATGTTGCTGGTGCATTGAGAAGTTCGTTTTATTAAGGAAGAAACATGAGAAATGAGCTGCGTGAGAAATGTGTGAGACATTTTTCATTGGGATTCTCTTCCGTTGGTGCTTAACTGCCCTTCTCTTTCCTTTTTTAGGGATGCTCGGGTAGTTAAGGACATGGCAACAGGAAAATCCAAAGGATATGGTTTTGTTTCCTTTTTCAATAAATGGGTGAGTGAGAACATATTGATTCCCAGAATCTTCAAGGTCTCCTTCCCCTCCTGCCCCAGGAGTCCAACAAAAAACATGGTTGGAGGGTGGGGGAGAGAAGGCTGCTGGCACTTTTAAGAGTACCAGCTTCATTTCCATGTGAACTTGCATGGGATTATTGTTTCCTCCTTAAAGACAAGTGGAATACAGTATTGAGGCCATCCTTGTTCTCTTAAGCTCTCTGTTGGAGCTGATGGGTCTAAAATACACCCAGATGGTTAACAGTCATCTGGCTCTGGCTTCCTGGCTGTCCTGCTGGGATCACTCTCACGTGACTCATGAGATTTTTAATGTAGAGTCTCCTAGTTTTGCCAGTGACTTTTCCTAGTGGGAAGCAGATTAGGAAAATGCACATGATCTCGAGCCCACCTCTTTGCCCCTCCCTGGTACAGAGTGGGAAGCAGATTAGGAAAATGCACATGCTCTCGAGCCCACTCCTTTGGAGTGGGAACGACTTAGCTCTTACTTCCCATTTGTGGAACCCCAAAAGGACCTTAACCACGCTTCCCTATTTATGGAATTGGACTGTACTTGTCTGTGTCCGGTGCCTTTTGTTGCTTGCATCTAGGAGACCATGATTCTCTTGCCTCTGCAGAGATTTTGCCTTACCCTAGCTTTAGCCAGGGTCTGGTCTCTTTGAAACACTTTCTTATTTATGTGCCTTTTGTTGCTTGCATCTAGGAGACCGTGGTTCTCTTGTCTCTGCAGAGATTTTGCCATGCAGCACGCATGCCCTAGCCTTAGCCAGGGTCTGGTGTCTTTGAAATACTTTCTTATTTAGTGTCAGGCTGACCTCTCCTGTAAACCTGTTTTGTCCTTGTGCTAGGATGCAGAAAATGCTATTCAGCAAATGGGGGGACAGTGGCTCGGTGGAAGGCAAATCAGGACTAACTGGGCAACACGCAAACCTCCAGCTCCAAAGAGTACATATGAGTGTAAGTACCTTAACGTTCAAGACTGGGATGAAGAGGTTTCCTCTCCAGCTATGGAAGGCAGCTTTTTCAGAGCTGACTGTCTAGAGGGGAGGAAGGGCCAGCCTTTCCATCTAATGCGGTGGCCTCAGTAGCAGCACACTCGATGCACTGGAAAAGGGTCAAGCAGAGCTCTGTACAAACGGACGTAGACTGTTAACCAAACTCTTGCACTCCCAGAACCATTGGCTCCCATAGCCAGTGGTCAGGGACTCGGAGCCGATGTCTCAGACACACCTGGGCTAAGAACCAAAGGTTGAGAATCCCTGGGTGGAATAATGGGTCTGCAAAGCAAAACAGTCGTGGAGACCAGTTGTAACCGCTGGCCAGATTTCTGGTGTGTTGAGAAGTGTCTTGCTTTTTCTTGTGAGAAAATCAGTGACTTGAAAAGGTTTGTTGTTGTTGTTGTTGTTCAGCAAATGCCAAACAGCTGTCCTACGATGATGTTGTAAATCAGTCCAGTCCAAGCAACTGCACAGTATACTGTGGTGGTGTTACTTCAGGACTAACAGGTATGACCTATGAATTTTGAGTCATTCCAGGAACCAGGCTCTGGGTATGCACCCTGACTTCCTCTCTGTCTCTTTCTTTGCAGAACAGCTCATGCGGCAGACATTTTCTCCATTTGGGCAGATCATGGAAATTCGGGTCTTCCCAGATAAAGGATACTCCTTTGTGCGGTACGGAACCATTTCCCCTTGTTTTTGTTTTAAGTAACCTTATTGTCGCCATGTGTCTTCATTTGCACATTTGCTCCTGACACATGAGTTTGCTTGTGTGGCACATTATAAACATAGATCTTGTGGTTAAAGACAAAGTGCACTATGGGTGAAAGGTTATATTTCACACTTACATAAAGCCACTGTGTTAAATAAAAACTAAGGAATGTACGTTTTACTACAAAATAGATGTGTACCAAAAGCCTATGGCTTTGATTAGGCCTGGGGCTCTCGGAGTTGTTTGGACTACAAGTCTTAGGAGTCTCGTTTCTGGGAATTTCAGTTGATAAACCTACAGATGCCTAAATATGGCTCAGCTGGAGAAAAGGCCTAGCAGGAAGATTTTGTGCATAGGCCTTGCTTTGACTTGGCTTCTTGTTCAGAAAGGAAGCTGACCTGCTGCTGCCTGGGAGCTTCCTTTGTAGTCCAGAAAATCTAAAAATTCCATGCCTGATTTTGATACACAATAGATAAGCTGGTTAGAATAATCCCATGAAGCTTTGACAAGCAATGTGTCCTGAAAAAGCTGTGGAGGAGGGAAAATAAATGGTTGCCAACTGATTGGTGTGTGTGTGTGTGTGTGTATTTGGATTTGGTAGGTAATGATGGAGGACTAAGTGCCGTGGAGCAGGGTTGGCAACAGAACAAGGCTGGGCAGCACATGCAGTAGAACAGAAAGTCTTGTCTCTTCGTAATAGTGAAGAGAGGGCTTTGCAATAACTAAGTGTCTTGAACGTCCACAGGTTCAACTCCCACGAAAGTGCCGCACATGCCATTGTTTCCGTGAACGGCACAACTATTGAAGGGCATGTTGTGAAATGTTATTGGGGCAAAGAAACACCAGATATGATAAATCCAATTCAACAGGTAGGAGATCTGCCCCTTCCCGACACCCCACAAAAGTATTCTGAAGACATTTCAGGGTTGTCAAATCATATTTCTAATAGACAGACTTATATCATGGATGTTAACTCAGGGAACTTTAGGAACAATAATCCTGGAAAATCTTCTAATGTGTTGCTTATGACAACAGCACAGAGCCTTATAAAAGGACGTATAGGGTACATTCCTAATCATAGGCCAGAGCATTGCATCCTAATGTTCATGAACTCTTGCCCTCCATAGCACTGACATAAATTTGCATGTGGAGAGTAATGGGAGGGCAGGGCACGGCATGGGATGGAGTTAAAGTTTGGGGTGTCTTCTTGCCCTGAGTTAACTTTTGTGCTCCAGAATTGCAGCTAAATCTCAGTGGAAGACAAACCAGCATCATTTGGGGGCAACAGTATTGGGTCAGAGGTAGTTTTTCACATCTCAATAGTTCTGTTGGTGATTTTCATTTAAATTACTATGGTTAGTGATAAAACATACATTTTGGCTGCCATAGACTTATATCTGAAAT